ACAAAAAAGGATTAAAAAATCTGAAGAAGGCCTAAGATTCATGTTGGACAACATGAAGAGGAATAACTTAAGAATTACTGGCATTCCAGAACAGGAACAATCACACAAGTCCACAGAGGAGATAGTTGAAGAGCTGCTACAAGAAAATTTCTCTAACATCCTGAAAAGTAAAAAGATACACATTTAAGAAGCTTAACAAACCCCAGGAAGGATAGGCGCAAAAAAAAAAAAAAAATCACCAAGACATATCATAATCAGGCTCTCCAAAATCAAAGATAAGCAGATAATCCTGAAAGCACCTAAGGAAAAGAGAAGTGTAACATACAAAGGTAAACAAGTCCGATTAAGCTTGGATCTCTCAACAGAAACCATGCAGGAAAGAAGGCAATGGGGAGACATATATAAAACCCTGAAAGAAAAAAACTGACACCCAAGAATCCTCTACCCAGCAAAGCTGTCAATTAAATATGATGGTGTAATCAAAACTTTCCAGGATGAACAGAAGCTAAGGGATTTTTCCAAAGCCAACCCTGCTATGAAAAATATCCTAAAGGAAGTTCTGTGGACTGAAAACCAACTAGAGCAGACAACAACCAGAAAATGACATACATGGCAGCATCACCCTGAACTCAACTGACAAATGGAAGAGTCAAGAATAGAATAAAATTAAAAGAACAGAGGATCTGGGAGGTCAGTCTGTGATCAAAACAATTACAATGTGAAAGAAGGTAAACACAGAGGAACAGAAATCCAGGTGGTGAGAAGGTTAGGTAGATTACAGGATAAAACAGACTGTCTTAAATGGAGGGAAGAGTTAATGGAATATAAGGTAACCACAACAGTGGGGTTAGGGTCAGGGTTTAGTTCGGGTTTTGGGGAGGGCTATATAAGAAATGGGAGAAGGCAGAAGAACTAGATAGGGAAACACTGAGACAGGTTTGCATGGCCTAAGTGGGACAGAGGTAAATAGTGATGCCTACTCAACCTTGGAACAACAGGGCTCTGGGATACAGGGATCTAAGCAAAGTTAGAAGAGGGGAAATAATACTAAAATGCTTGACTATCTTATGAACATTGGTTTTCCTTGCCTACTATTGTAAAACAGACACTTGAGTAGGACAGAAAAGAATATTGGGAAATACGATTACAGAAAACTTGTAAGCCTGTCTTCAGCCAATAACTGACTGGAATACCTAAACGTGTTCTAGAACTTGCCCAGTGAAATAGGCCTCTTGCAAAGCCTTTGCAGAGTATAGGTCTTAGGTGGATTCCTGAGTTCCATTCACAACCTTATGAGGTGGGACATTGCCACTAGAAGGGACAAGCAACCAACTTGGAACATCTAGAGCAACAGAAGATACATCTTCAAAGAAATATCATCAGGAAAAAAACCCAAAACAAACTGGCTACTACAAGAATAAGTAATCTGTTCGCCAGGAAGCCATCATGGCAAGCAAACAAGTTTCTTCAGGACAAACTCCCCTCTAAGAGTGAACTCAAAGGGAACACGCAAACAGGCATGTAAGCTTGCTGGTGGCCACATTTGTCTACTGGTGAATAGTAGAGGGGAAAGGCAGCAATGAAGAAATGGGCTGAGTTCAACAACAGTCCACTGACTCCCATTGATCTGGAGTTGAGAAAAAGAAAAGGAAGGGCTGGTTGGTCCAAAGTGTGGTGAGACCTGGGGACACTTGAGCCCATGGACAAGGACATAGACACAGCGGGCACGAGCTGAAAGTGAAGCATCCAGCTGATATGAAGTGAGGGGAGGTGCACAAAAACACCCAAACTTACAGACATTACCCATTTGACCTAGCCTCAATGGCTTAATAATCAGAACTTGACTAGAGGAAGATGACAATAACAACAAAAATTTGTGATAAAGGAAACAAGGGTAAATTGCTACAATTTGATGAACCTGACCTATACTCATGGAGGCAGTAACTCTAAGCATCAAAAGAGAGGGAAGGAGTCTTCACATCAAGTATCAATGCTATCCCCTCTGTACATAAGGTATATAGGGATGGGCAACTTAGGCATTGGCTACCTAAAATGAGGGGGTGAGAAAGGCACGAAGTGTCTGGCTTACAAGGTTTCAAGAGAGAGTTTAGTTTAAGAGTATATGGGGGTGTCCCGTTCGCTGGGAGAGAGGAGCCTCTCTTTTTTTCTTTCTCCCTTTTCCCTAAGAGTTGTCTGCTGGTTCTCAGCTTGCAGAGGATTCTACAGTCTTTATAGATCCTTTTTGTTGGCATTACCATTTTTTGAAGCAAAGTTAACCTAGCTTTCTAGTGTGTGAGCTTTCTTTTTGGCCATCTTAAAAAACGTTTTTTTAATCTATAAAATAGACAAAAGATAGTTCTACAATGTCCAAGTCGTTCCAGCAGTCATCTCTCGGTAGGGATTCGCAGGGTCATGGACGTGACCTGTCTGCAGCAGGAATAGGCCTTCTTGCTTCTGCTCCCCAGTTTTTAATTATGCCAGCATCTCTTGGAAGGATGAAGCAGGGTACTACATGCCTTGCTAGTTTAATGAATCTTGGAATGAGTTGTTCATTGAATCAATGAGGAACTCATAGTACATTGTCTTCTGCTAGTACTTCTTTCCATACTTTGCAGTAGATATTTAACACTGGAAGTAGAAGTCCACTTCCTTTGTCTTCTCAACACCGTGGAAATGCAGACCAGGCCAGTAACATTTTGGCCAGCTTTGGTCTGTCTGCTAGAGACTTAGATGAACTGAGTCATTATCCAGAGGACAAGATTACTCGTGAGAATTTGCCCCAAATCCTTCTACAGCTTAAAAGGAGGAGAACTGAAGAAGGCCCTACATTGAGTTAAGGTAGAGATGGCAGATCTGCTACACGGGAGCCACCATACAGAGTACCTAGGGATGATTGGGAAGAAAAAAAGGCACTTCAGAAGAGATAGTTTTGATGACCATGGTCCAACCCAGTGCTTGATTATGACCATGGAATTCGTTCTCAAGAATCTGGTTATCATGACAGAATGGATTATGAAGATGACAGATTAAGAGATGGAGAAAGGTGAGACCTCGCATAACTATCATAAATTTGACAGTGAGTATGAGAGAATGGGACATGGTCCTGGGCCCTTACAAGAGAGATCTCTCTTTGAGAAAAAGAGAGGTGCTCCTCCAAGTAGCAATACTGACAACTTCCATGGACTCTTACCGAAGAAGGGTTATCCCCATCTGTGCTCTATATGTGATTTGCCAGTTCATTGTAATAAGGAGTGGAGTCAACATATCAATGGAACAAGTCACAGTCAGCAATGCCAGCTGCTGCTTGAAATCTACCCTGAATGGAATCCCGACAATGATACGGGACACACAATGGGTGATCCATTCATGCTGCAGCAGTCTAAAACCCAGCACCAGGAATTCTGGGACCCCCACCTCCTTCATTTTATCTTGGTGGACCAGCTGCTGTTGGACCAAGAGGAAATCTGGGTGCTGGAAATGGAAACCTGCAAGGACCAAGACACATGCAAAAAAGCAGAGTAGAAACTAGCCGAGTTGTTCACATCATGGATTTTCAGCAAGGGAAAAACTTGAGGTACCAACTTTTACAGCTGGTGGAACCATTTGGAGTCATTTCAAACCATCTGATTCTAAATAAAATTAATGAGGCATTTGTTGAAATGTCAACTACAGAAGATGCTCAGGCTGCTGTGGATTATTACACAACTACACCAGCATTAGTATTTGGCAAGCCAGTGAGAGTTCATTCATCACAGAAGTATAAAAGAATAAAGAAACCTGAAGGAAAGCCAGACCAGAAATTTGATCAAAAGCAAGAGCTTGGACGTGTGATACATCTCAGCAATTTACTCCATTCTGGTTATTCTGACAGTGCTTTCCTCAAACTTGCTGAGCCCTATGGGAAAATAAAGAATACTATTTTGATGAGGATGAAAAGTCAGGCCTTTATTGAGATGGAGACCAGAGAAGATGCAATGGCAATGGTTGATCAATGTTTGAAAAAAGCTCTTTGGTTTCAGGGGAGATGTATGAAGGTTGACCTGTCTGAGAAATACAAAAAATTGGTACTGAGGATTCCCAACAGAGGAACTGACTTACTCAAAAAAGATAAATCTCAAAAAAGATCTTATTCTCCAGATGGTAAAGAATCTCCAAGTGATAAGAAATCCAAAACTGATGGTTCCCAGAAGACTGAAAGTACAGCTGAAGGTAAAGAACAAGAAGAGAAGTCAGGTGATGATTGTGAGAAAGATACAAAGGATGACCAGACAGAACAAGAACCTAGCCTGCTTCTTGAATCTGAAGATGAGCTACTTGTAGATGAAGAAGAAGCTGCAGCACTACTAGAAAGTGGCAGTTCAGTGGGAGATGAGGCAAATCTTGCTAATTTAGGTGATGTGGCCTCTGATGGGAAAAAGGACCCTTCAGACAAAGCTGGGAAAAAAGATGCAGCAAAGAAGAAGCTCAAAAAGGTGGACAAAATCGAGGAACTTGATCAAGAAAACGAAGAAGCGTTGGAAAATGGAATTAAAAATGAGGAAAATAGAGAGACAGGTGCTGAATCTGAGAATGCTGATGATCCTAACAAAGATACAAGTGAAAAAGCAGCTGGCCAAAGTGATGATCACAAGGAGGAGTATACTATGCCAGATGAGTATAGAACTGGACCATGTCAGCCCAGGGTTTCCATTGGTATAGACTATGTGATACCTAAAACGGGGTTTTACTATCAGCTGTGTTCACTCTTTTATACAAATGAAGATGTTGCAAAGAATACTCATTGCAGCAGCCTTCCTCATTATCAGAAATTAAAGAGATTTCTGAATAAATTATCTGAAGAGCGCAGACAGAAGAAGGAAGCTTGAGATGTGCAAGAAGTTTAATGATTTCAAAGAAAATAATGGTTTTTGGTTTTTAATGTTAACCTTTTTTAAACAATACAGATAGTGAGAAGAAATATATTGTACTCTTTTGTTTTAGTGGAATAATACTTAGATGTCTCTTCATGTGTTTAAATGTTATAGCAAAAATACATATACAGTTAAGTTAATGAAGAGCAGATTTTGTTTTATAAGAATGGCAACAGACAGAGTCACTTTGTTTAGAAATTTATGTTGTAAGCTACTAAAGATAAATTGCACCACTAAGGAGAAAAAGATGTAGAAACATTTAGAGAAATGAAATGTAGTCGTTCTAAGCTTCAAAGAAATGTCAAAACTGCTGATTCCATTCAATAAAGAACAAAACCAATTGTATTTTTATTACTTTCATTTGAAACATTCCACATTTTAATCTGAGCCTTAGCAGACTTTTCATTTGGA